AATTTCAGCTACCTCCCCTTACTCTCCCTCTCTCCCTCCTTTCCCAACTGTCTTCTTGGAGTTTCTGGCAAAGCCTCCTCTAGAATGCTGGGCGAGGTGCCACATCAGGTGTGGTTCTCAACCACCAAGCTTTATTAGGCAAGATTCAGCCTTATTCCGTACTCGTTCCTGGCTTTTTTTCCTCTCCTTCCTTTATTCTGTTTTCTTCATGAAGTTTTCCATAAACATGGTGAAAATGAAAAATATCAAGGTGCAGAAAGTCTCTCTCACTGTCTTACTTTCCGAGTTTTTCATTTCGAGTGGCTCTTGCGTCAGCGCTACTGGATGCAGTAGAGACGTAAGGGTGAAGGAATCGCCGTGGAGGAGGTCTGAGTCCAGGAGGGGGACTGAAGGGCAAACAGATAATTAGGGCTTGATGCGACGTATAAAAGACACCGTCAAAGTGCCGTGGAAAGGCAGGAGGGCAGTTACCTGCTCACGGAAAGCGACGCAGAGAGGGAGAGAATTCCAAGAGCCAACGAGAGGATCGCCAGGGGCTTGCAGGCAGCGAGTGGTCAGGCGTACCCTGGCCGTGGTTGAAAGTCTTGAAAAGGATCTTGGACTTGCTTCTCTAGGTCGGTGCTGGCACAGACCGATCAGGTATCAGTGTGAGATGGAAGGACAGAAAGGCAGAGAGCAATCACGCCACGTTCACTGTGGAACGGCCTCTGACAGCGGTAGTTAATGCTGGGGCCGCGTCACACATGGCAACTTTATCCTCAATTTCCGTCCTAGTGAAAAAAAAAAAATCTAGTAAACAGCTATGTGCAGTACCGGACAATTTATAGACGATAAGTTAGAGATGTAGTCTCATTTGCAGTTGTGAAGACTCATCTGGCAGTAGTTTTTATGGATTTGACAGGGCAGGACTAGAGGGAGAAAAAAACAGTGAAAAGCCTATTGCAATAGTCCACACCCTATACCCCGGCTGCCAAAAAAAATTGCTGGGGATTTGATCTACACTGGGGGTAACGGAGATGGAGAGGAAAGAATATATTATCAAGATATTTGGTGAGTAGTTCCTGGTGGGCCTAGTAATTATTTGATGTGAAAATTGAGAAGAAATAAAATAATCGGTAAGATCATTATATAGAGATAGATGGCATACAATGCCATTCTTCCAAGAATGTGAATTCTAAATAAATCTCACATCTTTATGGATTCAACTTAGGTAAGTATCCCAATATTTGTAATATGCCAGTTTTGGCAGCTCCTCTAAGAAATATAGTTTAAAAATGTCTACCTTGAGTATCAATACATCGAATAAGCCTAGTTTTATTTAAAAAATCAACAGCACCCAACAAAACAAAAATCTTAGCTTTAAAAGTGGAAAGCAAAGATCGTTATGAATATGCTTACGTTGGAACAGTGATTTCTGTTTGGGGTATGTCAGGTATGGCCTTTACCCCACAGTCAACACCTGCAACTCTTCAGACTTGACTGTGTCCAAAGTTTGTCCCACATAGACAACCAAGACACAGAATGGCTTTAGGACGTTTCATATATTGAGATCCTGACCCTCAAAATGTGACTTTGTTTGGAGATGAGACCTTTAAGGAAGTGATTAAGTTAAATGAGGTCGTGAGGTTGGGCCTTAATCCAATATGACTGATGGATGTCCTTATAGCAAGAAATTTGATCACAGGTAGTTAGACCACAAGTGGTTGATGACACAGGGAGAAGATGACCATCTACAAGCCAAAGAGAGAGGTCTCAGAAGAAACTGACTCTGACAATAACTGTTCTTGGACATCTAGGATCCAGGACTGTGAAAAAAATAAATCTCTGTTGCTTAAGCTACTCAGGCTATAGTATTCGAGTATGGCAAACTACTAGAGCACACAACTCATAGATGGTCTGGACTGGATTGAGACTCTAGCTAGTCTGACTCCAAAACCTGTGCTTTGCCTGAACCCCTCTCCACCACCTACCCCAGGAAGAAAGGGACTGTGGCTGCATCATTCCCGCTCTCAAATGAAGATGTCTGTAATGCCGAGAACTTTTCCTCCAGTAGATGAGCTACTTCTCTGGACTGATTGTGATCTCTGAATTTATTATGACAGTGGTTAGAGCAGAGAGAAAGGTTTAGAATCACTGGGCTATATTAGGGGAAGAAAGATGGAATTTCATGACGTACTAAAGCTTTTGAACTCTGGCTTCCATAGATGACTGAGAACTTACTCAAAGGCTAAGAATGGTATTCTTGGATTGCAAAACTGATAAGAGAGAGAGAGAGAACACTATCTGATACAGACAAAGCTTTGCAATGAACTAAAGGAAGAAAGGAACTAGCTAAGTTAGATATTAACTTAAACCACATCAATTTGGCTAAGCTTGAGGTTCTTCTAAAGAGTGAATGTCATATTTCTGATATAGACTCAGGATTTTTGCATTCTTTCATAATGATATGATAGTTTGCCTGTGTCAGTTGTTAATTCAGCACCAATGACAGTTGTATCACAAATCAATTTAGTTGCTCTGTTCAGAGCTTCTAAGTCTTTCCTTTGCAATATGTGAACTTCCTATAACCTAGAATTTATGAAATGGAACCATATGTGACCTCCACGCTTTCTCCATATTCAGAACCCAATCCAACTAAAATAATTCTTTTGTAAGAGCTGGCTAAGAATTATCAGGTAAATCATGTTACATGGATGTTTATTAAAAAAGTTTTGACTTGTTCTGGATGACCATCTATTTCCTCATTCACTAAAGAATGCAGAATGTCAATGAAAATTATAATTTTATCATATCTCATTAGTTTTCTTAATATGTTTGATCTCTGACAGTGTTCTTGCTTTGTGAAGAATTCACATATTTTATCATAATTTCCCAATAATAAATGTAATATTTTAATTCTTGTTTTTAAAAAAAGGAGATTTGAGGTCATCGATAAAATTATTTCTGCATCTTTTTCATCTTCGCTGCCTGGTTCCGGCTCTTATCACCTATCCCATGATTACTGCAATAGTCCTGCAGGCTATTCTCCTGCTGTGGTTGCTTTTCTACATCCAAGTCATCCTATTCTGCTACAAGATTAATAATCTTAAACCGATCTCTGACTGTGTCAGCTTCCTGCACAGAAACCACCTATGGTTTCCTATTAACTGGCAACAGGATAAAGTCCAAATTCCTGAGTTATCCATAATCTGGCCTCACTCAGACTTTCAAACTTCTAGCCTTATCTTCCAACATTCCCCCATCATAAGCTAGCCAAACTGGTTTCGCGAACTCATGCAGGACTTACTGTCTATACTCTTTCTTCTTATCATTAATCAAATATAGTTTTCAGGCAAGAATCGTCATCCAAGTTCTTCAGCTAGATGCCCCAACACCTTAAACGGTCTTCATTAAATGTTATTGCTCATAAAATCATCAATGTCAACGTTTCTTTCTTCTTTGTATCCTTCACAAAAGGGTAATGGAAATGATTTTTTTTTTTTATTTTTTGACTTATTAGAAGCATTCATTAAAAAGATGGTAGGAAGCAAACACATAAAAGAGCTTCTTCAATCATGGGCGTTTCAAAGCTATGCCTGCTCGTAAGCATGAAAAGTGTAGGGAGGAAAGCCACACTCACTGAGAGTCTACTGTGAGCAGAGCGGTTTAATTATGTTGTCTCATTCAGTCCTCAAATAACCCTCAGAGAGGGACGAGCTCAAAGAAGCCATTGCTTGATGGCGGTAGACCCGCTAGCAGAGCTCACACGTGAAGGAAGGATATATTAACTACAGTTCTGGGCAACTCACGTTCAATCCGCTCTGTCCCGCTGCCTTGTGTGAAAGTGCAGCTAAATCTTCATGAATTTCAGGGTTCTCTGGCAAAAGGGCACCAACCAGCGTGTGGATTCGGCACCATAGTCCAATTATCATTCACTTCTGTTGGACTCTCTGTGCCGGGTGTGGTACTAGGCATTCTACATCCCTGATCGCACTCAATCTTGTCAACAAACCCATGAACTTGGGGTGCTCTTATGCACATAAGGACACCGTAACTTCGAGCCGTTTGCTAACTTTCTCAAGGACACCTGAGCACGTGGTTGGGTCAGGCCTGAAAAGCACCAAAGCCTGGGCTTCTGTGTCTTCCGCTCTTAGAGGCCATCTGTCACATTAGGCCATGGTCCTATCTTCGAATATTTCCCCAAACATTACCTAAAAAAAAACAAAAACAAAAACATCCTCCTCATTCCAAGAACATGTTTGCATTCTGATGACTCCCTGCTGTACATTTCCCACCAATGAGAGAGAAGTCGAGGGCCCAGGGCCCCCCACCACGCAGAAAACGGAGAAGAACATGTCCGGGAGCGTTGACGGCATTCTCCCTTTGGCTTTTTTGTTGTCGTCGTTACGTTTGAGTTTGGTTTTGGCTTTGTGGTTTTTGTTGGCGAGTTGATGCCTCGGTTTCAGTAAAAGGGGATGTGGGACAAGTGACAGATAAGTAGTTAAAAGAGTTACAGAGGGATGGCGTAATGATAGTGACCTCACCCCCCAAGAAGAATTAAGAGAGGCAGACTCAAAGATGAAAAGAATGTACTTAACGTGTGTTATTTCATGATGGAGCCAAAAAAGCATGGTCTCTGCCCCGTCACGGGAGAGGCCGACCACTGAGCAGCCAGCAGCTGGCACCCCGGTCCTCGACAGTGTAGCTGCTGCATATAAAGTTAATTTATTTACCTGTTTGTTTGTGCCATACACGCTCTGCCTTCGTGTTCACAGAAAGAGAAAATTCCCGATGAGAAAAAAAATAATTTTGAGAGTCAGGAAGACATTGGACCTGACGCTGATCTCAATAGCAGGCGCTGGCAGGGGGCGGAATTATTTTTCAAACACTTTTGCTTCTCCTGGTAAAGTAGTTAGTGTTGTATTTTCATGCTCGAAGGAAAAAGTGATGAAAAGTTTTTAAACCCAAAGAAACAAAAACTCTTGGTTCGTGTCCAAATTTTCTGCAAAACAGGATCCCACATGGCCAGCCCCGGTCTTGATAGGTCTGAAACGAATTGGAGGATGCAACTTTTTAGGTTTGGCTTTTGCGTTTCACCTCATTTCCGTTCGATTTCGTAGCCTCTGTGTGCATGTCCGCCTCGCTCGGGGCGTATAATGGGGGAAGGGAAAGTTCATTTCGTAACATTTTTAGTGTCTGTGGTTCCAAACTCGCAGATGTCCAGCCTGGCTGTCGCTGCAGTCTGCCTCACAGGGGCGTGAGAGGTGGGGGCGGTGGCACGGGGCACGCCCACAGTCAGTGCCATGGTGCACCACAGCACAGCGCAGCAGGCCACAGCACGCCAAGCTTCTAGCAATTTCCCCAGCGGGCTACAGAAATGGAAGAGGGTTGGTTACCTGCTCTCTGCCGCTCAGGCCTTTACAAGGCCAGGGATTCCCATCCCAGACTTAGCCGCGGTCTGTCCTAGCCGGGGAGAATCCTAGAGAAGGATGAAGGGAGAATTTGCTCAGCAAGCTTGTGGCTTGTGCCCTCCCAAGTTCAAAGAGAAAACTGTCTCGTTAAACTGTCTTCTGGCTCTGCCTGGGGGAGAATTTCAAGCTTCCACAGTTAAGATTTCTGGAGTTAGAACTTTCATGCGTTTCTCTTTTTATTGGGGAGGCGTTGCGATTGGTTTTACAAGCAAAATAAACAGCTTAGGAACAAATGAAAGCCTTTCCTTTATTTCTCTTTCAACTGTAAATTCAAGAGCTCAAAATGAATTTGGCAGAGAACTCCGATTGCTCAGGAGTGCTGTGGCCGAAAGGCAAAATTTCCAAAAATTCTTGAAAATCCGAGTAATACCGGGAATAAATCCCAAATTCGACTTGTTGAGCCTCGAGTCGCTTTTAGAACTTCTTTTCCCCTCCCTTTAGAAAAAAAAACAGAGAAATCAGTCACCGGTCTCCTGTCAGTCCTGTGTCGCTGCGTCTCTGCCATGGCGCATGGAGATGCACCCCGCCCCTGGGCCAGCTGTCCTTAACGCAGCCAGAGGGAACAGGTGCAAACACGTGGGTCCCAGTGACCTGAGGAAGTAAATCCCCCAGGGGTGAGCTAGGCCTCCTCAAGGGCCCTCCAAGTTCACGGGTACCTAAATGGAGTCTTTATACAGCTTACACTTGTTTGATTCTTTACCCCGTTTTTTTAAAAGTCAACCTCGAATCGTTGGACTGTCGGGCTTTTTAAATCTTGATGAACTTATTTTTTGACCTTTTAAATCATCTTGATTTATGTAAAATCAATCACAAAGTTATCTGCTGCATCCTTTATGCCACTGTTATTATACTCGTTGAATGACACCACATGAAAGAGCCTGCCTTGTAGATACTTCGCTTTTGATTTTCTAAAAGGAGGCCCGTGTTGCTTGAAATGGAAAGAAACGGAGACCTAGAGGCTGATCAGCTTCATCTTAGGTTAATCATGGAGCAGATTTTTGAAGCCAGACTTATCAATTTTTATAATCCACGTGCTGCCTCTCGTGTTTACTTCTAGGGCACTAATTTCTGCATAGTATTTCCCAGTCATTACTTAGCTCCTTCAGAATAGGAAACAGGTTTAATTATTCTCTATGCAGCATTCAGCTAAAATATCTAGCACCTAGGAGATATTAGATAAATTTATTGAAACGAATTTATGACCTTGATGTTATAAGCTATCCGAACAATTCTGCTTTAGCTAAACACGACACAATAGAATTAGCTCTGATGGCGTGCACGTGATTTGACTGCTGTCAGATCAAAATTCATGTAATAATCAGCAAGGCGTCGTAATCACCACCATCACCTTTTGTTAAGTCGTTGTTATGAATCTGTTGCGCGAAGCACTTTATAATCATTTTCGCAAATTAGCTTCGGAATAATTATGCGGGATTCTGGGGAATTACTATTCCCTTCATTGTAGTTGAGGAAAGTAAGGCTTAGAGATGAAAAATAACTTGCCTAAAATCACAGTCTAAAAACACCTAGCCATGCGTATGGTCCCAGAGGGGTTGGGAGTCAGAAGAAGGGCCTCCCTAAACACTCAGTAAATGTGTAGTAAGCAGGAGAGTGCAATTTGTGGTTTCTTCACTATCGGCACTGAAGTCCCCTCTGAATGGAGACCCCGTGTTGTACACTGGTCTCCTAGATCCTCCTGAAAGTCCAAGAAATCTGCATGAGGGGCACACCAGATTTTTGTTTTCAGTACGACAGGAATACTCACAAATCTAACCTTTGGGGGCAAAACAATATCAATATTATTGTTTGAAAAAAATATACATATAGTTTGTCAAATCAAAGGACTTAATGACTTACTCTCTCAATGCAACACCTTTTGATACTTTTGGTGACCACATAGTCATACTGCCAAATATTTGGAAAAAACAAAACAAAACAAAACAAGACAAGACAATGTCACATCACTTACCTATGAAGGCAGTACAATCGGCTCTAGTACAATGAATGTTTCTGATACATCACTTAGTGATAGACTGTTGGTAATAAAGGAATCATTTCAGGATACTGCAGTATATCCTTGCTGTTCATGTATAATTTTTTTCCAAGTATGTTGACATTTCATGCCGTATAGTCACAGAAACAGAATGCAAAGCATACTAAGCCAGCCGAACACAACAAAGCATGCAGGAACACAGCGTGACCCCCAGGACCCTGTCACTCCATATGTTTGGCCATGTTCTGGGAAGTTTTATTGGGTGTTTCTCCCTGGCTTTTATGCATTTTACCCTTGTCTCTATAACTCAGCATCCTTCTTCCCTATAATCTTTTTCTTAGTATTCCCTCCATCAGGCTCCTTTGACCTTATTTCTAAAATCAAGTATTTCTTACGGTAGTTATTTAATTTAAATTTGAGATCTTTTTAAACCGTGTTTATATTTTTATTAGTGGCACTGTTGTTTTTGTCAGTTATCCTTTACAAAAGTACACAGGGTTCGACTGCCCACCCCTGTATCCTCGAAAAGGGATCAATTTTGTAAAACAAGAGGTGGTTCTCTGGATGTGTATATATCACATTGTGGGAGAAATATTTGCACATCCGACAACGTCAAGAACACGGAGGACAGCAGATGCATGAAGAATGCGAAATAAAGGTCTTGAGCAAATGAGTAGTTCTCGCGTACTCTACACAGAGAATCGTATATGCGTTTGCTTTCAACTCCATTCCGGCAGAGTCATAAACGAGCATATGCAGATTACCTGGTCTCTGTTGCTCACCTGAATACTAGAGCTAATAACTCCCACTTAATTCGGTGCTTTTCTAATGATCCGTTGATGCATAAGTAGGTGAAATGGCCAATAGAGCTATTTTGAAAGTGAGAGTGGCCCTGTTTATCTCTTCAGTACGTGCCCAGTGGTAGATACTGCAAGGCAGAATGTTCGCAGTATGATGGCAACGGAGAATCGCGGTGAAAGGCAGACACTAAAATTTAAAAAGTGTAAAAATCTAGGACTATCACAGCATTAGAAATAGTCCTACTTCTGGTGACATCGTGTTACTCTCACATATTATTGCAACGGCTCTGAATCAAAGAGTGTTTAATTACGTTCAATTATTTTCTTTCTGACGGTGGCAAAATATGTAATTCACCTAAAAAAAGGTTTTCGACAAAATAGTTATTATTTTTAAGTTTTGGTGTATGAAATTGATGGCTAACCAGCTGAAACACCTCATTCTCAAATTACGTTTTAAAAAGCTATACAACTCTTTATAACCTCCTCTTTTTCAAAAGCGATGCTATAACTCAGAATTTCACAACCAATATTAAAGAATGACTCCAGAGTTAAAATGAAGCCATATAGAATAGGAAGTAGATGACAATTATTACTGGTTTCCTTCCCCAAAAAGATACAGGGGAAAGGAAATGGATTTAAGTGACATAAACATAGACAACTTTTGGATTGGCAATTTTTTAGAACAAGCTATGAAGGTAGTAGTGTTTTTTCTTTTCCTAAGGAAATGATTAAGAGTAGAGAATTACTATATTTGTATTAATTTGAATGTTTCTGTTTCTTACTGCACTAGTTTCTACTGTTGAAAACTTAACGAGTGCCCATTTTTATTTTAGAATGAAAAATAAATAAAGACGACTCTGCATGTCAACTTATAAGGATCAGACACCCACTTCCTCAATGGACAAAGAGGTAATAATATGTAGTAGTAATTAAGACCTTGGGTGGAAATTAGCCTTAACCGACGTTGTTTAGATCTAAATTTTTCTGCTTCAACTTTGGCTGATTTCTGAAAACATCGTCTGGCTCTGTTTCTCTCTTCTCTTTTGTAAAATAGAGTTAAGCTGTCTCTTGGAGGCATTTTAAGGTTTGCATTGAATGTATAGGTGTATGCAATTGACAAAGTGCTTTGCATAAAGTGGTATCTCAGTAAATGATTATTACATAAATTATAAATGATGACACACTCACACTCAAAACCTCACACTCATTATGAGGGATTAACAATGAATAAGTCTACGTTTATTTTGTTTTGTTTTGTTTCTTTGTGTTATATAATTATACAACATCTCTAAGGGAAAATGAACACAGGGCTAACTAAAATATACTCCCAGAGTAGAATATAACTTGCACGTGAATGCTAATAATGATGAATGACACTGTCTGCATTACTGTATTTTTAAATAGGTAATTATATAGCATGAAAAAGTACTTCGAGATTCATATCATCTTGATATAAGAATAAATGCAATATTAAACCTTATACAAGATTGTGAATAAGAAAGCTTTAAAAGTCATTTAAAATGCTATATTGTAGATTATATTTCTAATTTGCTGTGATATTTTAATTATCACCGTATATTTTAATTATCACCATATCTGACTAGATATGCTTCATAATAGGAATTTTGCTTCATGCCATGTGCATGAGACCTCACATATTTGACATTGTAACTGGCCCATCCATCGTAAATGTCTAGAAAAGGAAACGAGTAGTCATCTTTCCCTTTGGATTTCTTGTTTTGATACAGATTATTCCTGGGACACTGTTTCTCATGCCTTTGAACTCTAACCATGGCATTTAACTTAGTTTTCAAGGGCAACTCAGCCTTCATTTTTTGACATCTCTCAAAGCATAATACCTGTTTAATGGTTAACTTCATATCTACACATGTAGAAAAAAAATGCATTTGGTTCTTTAAAGTCTCTGCTGCTCTTGGAAAAAGAATCTTGTGAACTAAAGTCTTGCTATATCTTGAAGCACGGTTTTAGGGTTTTCTTAAATAAGAAATCGAGTGAATATTATCTGGAATTACAATTATGTAATTTCTACTGCCATCCCCACCATGGAATACCTTTTATAATTACAAGGCATGTGGTCATGCTTGGGTGACATGGAATACGAAATTAAATTGTCCCCTGGCGGGGGCATCATAGAGTTTGCTTGGTTGCTGTCAGGCAGGGAAAATGTTTTGACTGCGTGCACGAGGAAAGAGGACAGACTCAATAAATAATTTGTTTTTCATCGCTCATCTCAATGCCAGCTCGAAATCTCAAGTAATAAGTCAATTGCCATTTCACGAAGGTACATCAAATGACATTTTATCCTTTTTCAGATCTAAGGAAACGGATTTAAGGATGAGGAATGGCTGACTGTAGCAAACAGATTAAAAATAGCATATTACCTAAACGCCGAGTAACTCAAATTTAAAAAGCACACAGGCCTTCACATGTAAAAGCGACGTGTTTCTGGCTTTCGGGAAGCAAGGTTGTGACCTGGCTTCTAGCCTGTCTCCATTCTTGACCTCCTTTCTTTTAGTTCAAAGAGATTAAGTCCAGTTTCCCGGGCCAGCGAGGGATGAGAACACCATGGACACTTTGGCTCTGAGATAGAGAAGGAAGAGATGGAGAAAAGGGACTATGAGCTCATAGGTCTTTTCCATCCCCGGAGCCTGGGTTTCTGCCATTCCATCCCACACAAGCAGAACCTCAGCCACCCCGGCTCTCTCGCCGGTCCCCAAACACACCACGCATTTAACGAAGCGCGCCTTCGCACATACCGTCCTCTCTGCCTCTGATACCACCCCCCGTTTCTGCGTCGCACGCTCCTGCTCCTCTGTCGGGAAGTTTCGTCCGCTCTGAACCTTCCCCAGCACACGAGCAGAGCTAATCGATCGTCCCTATCGGTTCTCATACTGCTTTGCTTATTCCCACGCTTATTCCAGTCCATCGAACTCTGTCCTTTTTGACATCTCTGTCTCTTCCTTTCAGCTTTTCCTGAGAGACAGGAGCTGAGCCCTGCTCATCCTTTTTGCCCAGTCCCTTACGGATAGCCAGGGAACCATAAAGACTTGGACATTCGTACTCCAGATGGACAGATAAATGATGGTATAGATGTGGACACAGATGGAGATGAAGAGAGAGATAGAGGCCAAGATACAGGTGGAACCTGGGATGGAGAGCTAGGGCTAGAGGTGGCCCTTCAGGTACCTAAGGGAGAAAGCTCAGAAATAAGATGGCATTGGACTTTTTATTTACTCTGAGATTGGAAATCGGGGCAAGTGGGTAAAAAGAGTGGTAACTGAATTTGCAGTTTGGCTGCACGAACACCGTATACGTTGGGAAGAACTGGGGCGTAGCAAACAACACTGTTCCCGTGGATTTAAAGTTAATCTATTTGATTAAATGTGGTTGCCCTTAAAACTGAGTTGTGAGTCCTGAGTAGACAATATAGAGTGTGTTGGCATCAAGCGTAAACAAAAGTCAACTGTCTTAAACCGAGGAAGACCTTTTTGTTTTCAAATGAGGTGGCAGAGGCCTCTCTTATGTTAAATTAGTGAGAAATAGAACTCTCATTAAAATAATGTCAGATATACATTTCAGGAAGAGGGCGGGCTTCGGAAACAATTGAAAAATAAAGGAAAATAACATAAAACCCTTCTCCCTTTCCACATAAATTCACCTGCTCCAGTAAATAAAAAGCTAAGGGTCCCTTCTAGTAGGAAGGTCAAAGACATGATGTAAAAGAAGATCAAACCCATTCGGTACCTATTGAGGTTGAGAATGCCTTTAAGGAGGAAAAATTAAGTTGTGTTCAACACTCAACACCAACACACCAGAGAATGTAACCCAGCTGAGCTAATATGCAGGACTGGAGTGAAAATGAGCTAATGCTGTTAGGGGATTGTGTGCAAACTATGGCAAGAGATCAATAACCATTGAAAAGAGGAGGAGGAAAAAACGCTGCTCAGCTGCTAACACTAAAGAAGCAGCAAATTTGCAAAAAACATTAAGTGTTTCAGTAACTCGTAAGATAGGACAGGAATCCTGGCTTGATGGATTGTACAGCTACATCTATTGGGGTCTGTCTTTTTTCCTTTCTTTTTTTCTTTTTTTTTTTTTTCCTCAGGGGTTGGTGATTGGAATAAGAGGGAGTAGAGGATGGAAGATTTGCTTGTCTTTTCCTCATTTTCCCTGTAGCTGCCTTACAAATGCTATCTCCACCGTGATGAAGAGGCATGCGTCATGTTATTTAGGCTGGCAGTTGAACTGACAACACGTTTTATATATTACCCAAAACACTGAAGAAGAGAATTTGCAATAACCTAATAGTCATTTGTAAAAGCATGAAGTTGGCCTCATCAACTAAGAAACTGAATTTGTGAGCTGTAAAATGTCAGAGCTGACCTCTGGGAGGTTTCGAGGCGGGATGATGTGGCGAAGGGCAGGCTACAGGTCACGTTTTATACAAGAAGTTTAATTGTTCTGGCTGGGAAGTCAAAGTGACTCACTGAGCCGAAGTGGTCTCTATCTCCCAACCCAGATTTCAAACGGGGGAGGACGGCAGAGCAATCATATCTTTAAAAGAATTGGGACTAGTTCATTTCAGTCTTTTAACTACTTCCATCCAGATTCATTTGTTTTGGACACAAAAATTGATAGCGGGCCAACGATAGCAAAAAACAGTGTCTTTGTCACCCCTTTTGAACCCACACAAACCTTTTCACTGTATTTAAACCGGACTTTTTTTTTTTTCTTGCCAAAGAAAATCGCATGCTTTTCTGCCTTTTCTGAGATTTTATTGAAAAACATTAAATGGTTTATAGCTATAGAGAATTGTAAAGTCATCATGACACCGAGTTCACGGGATGGTATTTTCCAGTTGCGTTTCAATTATTCTCAGAAACTTTCATCTCACTCAGGTATGAGCATTTTTGATTTGACATCAAAAGATCATTCGTGGTAATTTCTTAGCCATAAGATTTAGATGCTGGGTTCTTACATCACTTGAAAGGGCTACGGCCCGCTGGGGATTCCTAACCACAGCCTTTTGCTAGTCATCTGCCATTCCCTTCAACCATTCTTTCTGGCCACTGAAACTGCTCAATCTGAAGCTTAAATTTAAGGTATCTCCCTATTGTTCAATAAAACTTGGTCCTCTGAAGAAGAATGTATTGCTAGAAGATTGTGGTCAGTAGCTTCCAGTAACCATTATCTCTTCAGTCCTCACCCCCGACAAAGTAATTAGAGTATTCAAAGCTAAACTGAAACAACTATTCTCAGGAAGAGAAATAATCATCTCCAAGTTCATCTATATCAAAAAGAAAAAAAAGAAGAAAAAAGAAAAACAAACAAAAATAACTGATCCAGACAATTGTGGCACACTCTGAAGGAAAAACAGAAGTCTTCTAGGGAGGTAAGCGTTGTACCCAGAATGGAGAGTCTAAAGATTCTATGGTAGGAGAAAGTTTGTGAGCCATATGAGAGCAATGTTATAAAATATAAGATCAGAAAAGTGTGCAGGGGTGAAATTATCAAATTGCCAGGCTGACGAGCTTGAATTTGATTCTACCCATCATGATAAAGTTAAAGTAATCAAAACATGGCAGATGTTTTTAGAATAATCTTGAAGGTTGGGAGGCCATTTTGATTGCCCGGATCTAAGGCAGAGCAATAGGAGCGGAAAGGAAAAAGTCAATTTTGCTAGATATCACGAAGACAGAATTAATAGATTAGGTAATGGATTAAAATGGGGAGTAATGAGGGTGCTGGAATAATCAAATATCTGTTACTGTTTTGCAATGAGAAGATAAAATAATGGGTTCTTTTCTCATCAAGATACAGTCGAGGTTCCCATGGCTCACTCGCATGGAACTCTGCTGGAGGAGGTCGATGTATCAAATCATAAATTC